GACGTGCGCAATGTTGGAATGTGGTAGGAGGCTGGGGAGTGGTCCCAGATACTGGGTATGTGAGCGATACAGTTGCAACAAAGAGTGCAAAAGTACTATACACCCAGCATGGGGCAGCAAGACAGATGCCGGCGTTACTGGGGAGGCTATTGCCTAATGGAAATACCTACGGATATGCATCACTATATACTTCCGTCAATCATCTAGCTAAGTTCTTTCTTGTACAACATGGCGCAATGCTCTCTAACCTCGTTCACAACAGGATACATGTCACGACATCATGCATTCGTTTGTGTGGGACATGTATTACATTATTGGTATAGTTCTATGGATGAACAATCAAATAGTACCACTATCTACAGCATCATCGCGGCAAAGACGCCGGCCGCAAGAGCAGCAGCACCTCCACCAAGCTTGGTAGCAGCACCGGTGTACTCAGCTGGGTCGCTGCTAGTGGGGCTGGGCATGCCCATGGTGCCATTGGGCGAAGTACCATTTCCGCCAACCATCTCAAAGTTTGCGCAAGTAATCCTCGTGGTGTTGCCAGTGTGCAAGACAAACGCCAACCCTCCGAAGAATCCAGCACTGCCCTGCTCAACACTGAGGTATGGGTCGACAAAGCTAGTAGAGAAGCTTCCTTCCGTCATGATCTTGCCGCCGTGCTTGCCAGCCAAGTCACCAACCTGGCACGTCTCAGGCTGCGCAGAGTCGCACATGACGAGCTCGCCGCGGTTCGTGGGGTCCAAGTGGCCCATAGTTGCTGTGCAGTTTCCATCGGCGGAAACGGGCATGGCGTGGATGTGCCAGGCGAATGGGCCGAATTGTGCTTGGTCGGGCAGGTCGGTCAGGTCGACGGTGAAGTTGACACCGCCTGCACCACCCACAGCTTGGATGGAACCAGAGATGGTGCTGCCCACGAAGGGGTTGTATTGCACCTCTGGCATGGTGGCGCGGTAGGTGGCTGAGGGCTGGTTGGAAGACGCGGTCGCAGTACCCTCGAGACCACCGGTCTCACCTGGGAGGTAGCCAGGCGCAGGCGGGAGGGGAGACACGATGGCTCCCTGGATTGTGTCGACGCCAGTGAATGGAGTGGCGGTGGGAGTGGCGGGAATGACACCAGACTTTGCGGTTGCGAGGACGACAGGCGCAGGAGCACCCTCTTGGACCTGCTCCTGGGCGTATGCAAGAGCGCCAAAGGCGAGAAGGGAGAAAGACTTGGACAGCATCTTGTAGTCTGGCGATTGGTGTCTGAGGAGCGAAGGTGTTGAAGGTGCAGGTGCTTGACTGCAGGTGACAGAGACTATCCTTTCGTCTCTTATACCAATTCAATGATCAACACACGCCTCGTCAGGCATGCAAACAATACGTTAGCCCTCCTCCCAATAGACACCCCTGAGCTTGTCACCAAGATGACATCAGTAACTGTCATATCCTTCGCTTCCTCCACCAACAACACCCATCTCATGGACGCTTCCAGCCGAGCTAACACGGCTCATTCCTCCGCCGCAACAACAGAGCCAGCATGCCCTCGCGTGCGCATTCCAGCCGCCTCAATGCATTCAACAAGCCCCATCTGTGCTGTGCCAACGGATAAATCGTGCCGTTAGCTGCTCGTCGCTTGCCTCGCGGCAATACGCAGCTATTGCCGATCATGAGATTGGCGAAAGCTTGAAATGCAGCGGAGTCTGCAGCGAAACCTTGCAAACAAGCCTTTTACAGGCCAGCAAACGTTCGGATATTCGCCCGGTCCGCATTAGCGCTGTCTGGGGTGCATTGCAGGACCGTGCCTGACATCAGCATGTGGAGAGGCTGGCAGAGATGGTCGTCTTGGTCCGAGATGGCGGGTCGTCGAGCGTGATGTCAAGACTCGATGGATGCGGGGTGCTAAGCGAAGTATGATAACGCCGCGCGCTAGAAGTCAATACTGTCGCTCCGCGGTGACTAGAATGGAGGTGACGCGTAGATGTAGAAAAAAGGGCAATTCGACGTTTTGGCGAGATGAGGTGTGCCTGCTTCCTTGTTTTGTTGGCCGTGTCGCAGCGGCATATCAGGGGCGTATGGGCTTGCGACTCAGCATGAAGAAGGGATGCGACGGGTACCTTACTTCGAGTGTACACCGTGTATTTGAGGAGAAATGCAAGCTGTCGGTGGCTTGCTCGATGGTATCCGGCTGATTGGACACGACACTTCTGAGATGGCACGAACACGATCGCGCCTTCCTGGAGCTTCGTTAACAATAACCTGCTACCTCATCATTCTGGGAGTAGAACGGAGCAATACTTCAGACTAAGTATACTGTAAGCAATCCGAAACTGGTTATGAAAGTTAGTGATGAATGAAGATGATCGTGGGGTTCGTTGGTAATGCGGCCCTCTGCGAGCACGATTGTCAGCTGCAATGAGCAGCTGTCTCAGACGCACACAGCCTCTGGAGCTCGTGAGCCAGGCTTGATGAGCTTTGTGTTCTAGGCTGCCTGTTTGGCGACGCGAGGGGTCAGAAACATCTTATAGTCGTAGTACAGATGTGTGTACATCATAACCTGCTCAAAACGACTCTTCGACTCATTAGTGCCTTCTAGAGGACTTACATCAGCGACAAACATGCGATGCTAGATTTGTGCTAATCAAGCATGATCCGATACCCAATGTTGTAGGTTGATAAGAGGTTGGTGTAGCCAGAAAAGCAGAGCGTAATGTGGTTTCCGATTCGCGCACTTGACACCGCTAGGAGGATTTCAAAATCGCGCAAGCTGTGCAAGCCCGATCCGCGGAGCCCAGTTCGACATGTACACCTCGCGCTGATAATGCAAGATCTGAGGATCATTGGAAGAAGGATATAAAGACTGTCCATGTTCATTGTCAAGACCGACGTGGCGTTGCAACCGATGCGCGTAAAACCCACCGCGTCCTAGCGTGTCGTGGTCGCGGCTTCCCTCCTCGACACCTCTGATCCCCCACCAGGACATCATCACCAACACTCTGTGGTGACCTCTGTCAGAGCATACCTAGGTAGATCAAATTTATGCCGCTCGCAACTTTCTTGGTCTCGAAGATACCGATGCGATTCGATACGCCCCTCCACAGGAGGATTTGCGATCCCGACAGCGGCACTGCCCCCTGTCGCGAGCCTTCATCGCCGGGTGGAGCTATGACCACCACAATGGGGTCCTGCGAGTACGAGCAACTCCAAGTATCATGAGTATTCGCTGTTTCGCCCCGTGTACAGCTGGAAGGTGTATCTCATTTGCTCTGCCAAGGATTCCTGAAAGCGAGTCTCTTCGTACCGGAAGATCAGTCCACCTGGGCACCATTGGCGGAGCAATCCGCCGCAGGCCCAGCAAGCATTGGATCTCGATTGAAGGCCACCGACCAATCCAGAAAGGTAGAGGCATTGAAGCACGCAATCTTCATCCAATGCAGTATACATGCTGCGTGAGCATCGTAGTAACAAGTGGGGTTGCACATTATGACGGCGGGGTTGAGCAGGTATGAGGTAAGACGCTCGTCAGGGAACAACATGCGACGCCTCAAAGGCTTTCAGCTCGAATAACACCTATTCACTGCTTGGACTGCTTGATACAATAGAAGAAACGGCGTTCTCATCATTTTTAACAATATGTCCGACTACAGCGATTATTGTTGCAAAAGGCGAACGATTCAGCAACTTCCAGTCCCCGCTCGGAAGGGTCACAATGCCATTCTCAACTCCAACTACTTGGACGATATTGTCGACGCGATTGGTACGTGGAGCTGCCAACGCATTCTCATAGCGCACTCGAAGGCGCTCCATGAGAACACGGATATTGTCGAGAAGCTGAAAGAAAAACTGGGATCGTTTGTTGTAGGGACAAAGTCGGGTGTGGGCGCTCATTCTCCATACGAAGACGTACTGGAGATCGCGAGACTATTCCACGAAAAGAACGCGGATTGTCTGATCAGTATAGGAAGTAGCAGCTACTCGGATGCAAGCAAGATCGCTCGCTTGATGCACGCAAATCTTGCTCCAGACAACCTCACAGTTGAGGCCATGGAATCCTTGGTAGATCAAAAGAAGGGCAGTGCAGTTGATCTGAAAGACCCCATGACAAGACTCATCCTCGTACCGACGAGTCTGTCCGCAAGCGAGTGGAACAACAACTCATCTGCAACGAACCCTCAAACAAAAAAGAAGCAGCATTTCGCAAGTGAGCATGCAGCACCAGACCTCATCCTCCTGGATCCTGAAGTAGCGTCCACATCGCCTCGGAAGTTGTGGCTGTCGAGCGGGATGCGCGCGATAGATCATTGCGTCGAAACGGTATGTACTGCCCTCGGAGTTTCGCAAGGTAGAGACTGTATTGACACTGTGTCATCAACAGATGCTCAACGCCAAGTGCACCCGAGAGGTTTTTCACCATATGGAAGATGCGCTTGCAGTCCTATTGAAAGGGCTGAGAAACTACAAAAACGGCGAAAGCGACAGCAACCGATCCGAGCTGCTCGATGGAGTCGGAAATTGCCAGATAGGTTCTAGGAACGCGATGATGGGTCTCATACTGTGGAGCGTTCCGATGGGGCTTTCGCACGCCATTGGACATCAGCTGGGAAGTGTATGCGGCGTTATGCACGGCGTCACGTCTTGTGTCATGCTCGCCCCTGTTCTACGGTACAATGCCTCGAAGTTGGAGAAGCAGAGAGAGGTACAGCAACGCGTGCTGGGAATCTGGAACAAGGTCCTTGAAAGCGACGAGCCAAGCCTTGCGGATGCGGTGGCCAACTTTGTGAGAAGCCTTGGGTTGCCGAGTACGCTGAACGAAGTAGGTGTTACGGAGCAAAAGGAAATTGAGAAAGTAGCGGAGCGCACCATGACCGACGTGTTCGGAGCGATGGAAGGTATGGGCGAGAAGGAGGATGTGCTGGCTATCTTGGCTTCAGCAAATGCCCAAGGTACCGAGGATGGAGGACTGGAAGGAGGCGCACCGATGTAGAACACGCTCTAGGTAGAACAAACGTAACACTCGCTTATATCAGCTGCGCTCTCGACTTGCCCTTGGGGAAATAATGCAACCGCAGGTCACCCATCGGAAGCTTCTCAGACTTTGCTACATCTTCCATAATGACAGTCGCCAGCTCAGTAGGAAGCTGGCCACCGCCCCATCGCCTCATAGTCCTCCAAATCTCGTATATCCTGCTGCTTTCGTGCAGGAACTTTGTGGATCGACGGAACCAGCCAGCGGTCATGTGCTGAGCCACAGTGTACGAGCGGGCAAATCCCCACCTCTCCCAATCTTGCAGATCTTGCGCGGCCCATATGGGGAGTAGATCACTGGCCCTTGACAACGCTAGCGTTACCGGTGCCGTAGCTTTGTCCCAAGCAATGAGTTTGGGGGTTGATGATGAAGATGTGCGCGGTTGGGTAGAATGCGAGGATGGTGGATCCCACTGATCCACACAGATCGTCAACAGCGCATCATCCAGGATCCAATACAGACTCTCGCGTTGACTGTGTAGGAACCGCTCCAGTCCGACGTCCTTGTGTCGCAGAATGTTGACGCCCCAATACACCAGTGAGCATGCCGCCTCTGCCCACGACGCTGGCGCGACGTCCACCAGCTTGTGCACGGTCGCGGCAAATTCGCGGGTACGATGGAAGAGCATTTGGTATAATTGCGGGATAACAGTTAGACCATGAAGATCGGCTAGGGTACTGATGTTCATGGACCGGATGGCAAGGTCCATGGTGTAGGTGGGGTGGTGAGACCCGCGGTCCCAAGGTCGCAGAGTAGGGACGCGGAATTGTCCATCTTGCGGCAAGGGATCAGAGCCTAGACGTGGCGGAACCTTGGATTCGGGAGGTAGATTTAGCGCAGGCATCATGGTGACCATCACAGCTACAAGGCAGGCCGGAGTGATGTAGGAGCGATGTTTGCGGACGCTGTTGGTCGCGGCCTTACCCAAGTGAGCTGAGCTGAGCTGAGGTTGTTTCGTTGACCTCGGGAGGAGCGGGGTACACAGCCCCTTCCAGCTAAGAGAGTGCAAGGAAACCTATGGGATAACGATTCAGAAAGCGTGCCTGAGTGTGAAAGGGTCCCTCACGTGGAAGAGCGGCTCCTGCCCATTCGGCACGCTAGCGCTCTCCGACGCCGGACAGCCGGCAGCTCTGGACGCGTACGCCTCATCACAACATAGACCCTTCTTCATACAGCCCTTCAATAATCGCGTGTTATTCGATCGTCCGCGCCGTTCTTAAAAATTGCGAGGCCCTTCTCAACAGAGTCAAAGGGTTCAATTGCGCATTCTTGCCCGTATACCCATGTCATATGCTCCGATCTAGCCCGTTGTGGGCGTCGATCATCGCCCGCGATGACAATGGTAAACCACACGAATCACCCGTTCCGAATGTCGAGGGAAGAATGCGGTGGACAACAGAGCTTCAGAGTATCTTAATGGATGTATTCGAGCGGGGTAAAGTATCACCATGTAATGCAAACCCTCCTTCTGGGCTCAATACATCGAATATATCTCATCATGATCAAGATGTAGTCTGTGGCACCATGTCCCCTTCATGCAATATCATCAATGCTTCCTGCTTGATATGAGAGCTCATCCTTCAGTATAAGAAGGTGACTCCCCATTCTAACATAGCAACAACCAACATCTTTACATCCACAAGATTCAGAGTTTCTTCTCTAACATCTTTTTCTCATCCTTCATTCTGACCTAAGGGTCAAGCAACATACAAGATGATGAAGTCCTCTTCCATCATCACCATGTTCTTCTTCTTCTTCTCCGGTGCGGTCTTCGCCGCTGTCGTCCCCCCTTTCGTCACCTCTGCCGCATCCGAAATCTTTGCCACACCTGTCCCCCGTTCCGAACCCCTCTGTGCGCCTCTCGGTGACAGCACTGCCCCGGAGCCATCCTCCAACGCTCTCTCAGCTTTCACAGATGACGAGAAGTACGACGAGTTGGCCTTGACGGCCCCGATCCCTGCCGGCTACACTGCCACCATGAAAAACGCAAACTGTGCCTTCTCGTCCAACAGGTACATGCTGTACGTTCAACTGGACTCATACAACCCGGAGGCTTGCGCCGAACTTTGCAACAACCACGAAGGCTGCGACTCCTGTAAGTTATACCTTTCGGCATCACAGTTCCCTACGGCAAAGCTAATCGTCTCCTTTCGTATAGTCAACATCTACATCCAGCGTAGCCCGTCTCAGATTCCTGGGCCAGCCTGCCCCAATCCGGCTCCCATTGCCGTCGCCCAATGTGCCCTCTACTCCCTGCCGGAGGAGGCATCTTCTTGCACAAACTTCGGTCAGCACATTGGCCCCGTCGATGCCAACGGTGAGGCGTTCAAAACTGCTATGCGCAGCTCCAACGGTACGTTCTTCGCCTATACATCTACGTACGAGCTCAAAACTAATCAGTGTACGCAGCATACAACAAGATCGCTGTCAAGGAAGTCACCGTGACTGTCACCACTACCCACCACATGCACACGACCTTCACCAGGCTTGTCTCAAGAAGTGATATTTCACGGAGAGACATCGCCACTACTATTGACAATGGTGATCGAACAATCAACATGACTACTACCGTCACACACACTCGTTCTGCAAAGTCCAAGTCTGTGGCTGTTGGGACCCCGGCTGGTGTTGTCACTGTCACTCGGTCGGCAAATCCTGCGTCTTACGTTGGTACGGTCACTGTTACCCGTTCGGCAAACCCGACTGCACATGCTGGCACTACAACCGTTACTCGGACCAGGTCGCAGGGCGCAGGCGCAACGCCCTCCCAGTTCCAGTCTGTCATCTACACAACCGTCACATCCTACTACGACAAGCGCGCCGAGCCGTATACTGCGCCTGCTGAGTACGTCACCGTCACTGAGGAAGGAGAACCTACATACGTTGACACTACGACCACGACCATCATTAACACGTCTGGCGTAGTGACCGTAACTACCACTATCCCCAACACCCTACCCGCAGAGACCACGACTATCACCATTGATGACGCTGAGACACCCACCTACGATGGCAAGCGCAGCCTGGACCCTGCTGTCACGGCTGAGCCAATGCTCACTATCACGATTGACGAGAACTACGTGTACACTGGTCCTACGGATGTGCCTATGAAGACCTATACTATCTACCCAGACCACTAGAGTGAGTAGTAGAGGTGCATCTAACTTTCTTGTGCTTTGGAAATTCGCTGGACTTAGCGCGGAGTCTGGCGTTAACAAGAGAATTGGATTTGACTGTGCGGGCTGATGGTGTCTTGACTGCTTGCGCTGTAGACATAACTAGCTAATGATAACAACCCGTAAAACAACTTGTGACTTTCCCGTGATACAAGTTAACACTCCTTCTCACTCCCCAGCACAATCATCGCAAAACCACTCTCCTTCCGGAACCGTCTTCGACGTCATCCCAATGCACGCGAAGTGGAACCACTCGCCCGCGCAATCCTCCCCATCACACGCCACCATCCCACCAGTCTCACGCCGACAAGCTGGGAAACAGTAGTGGCTTGACTCCGCCTCCGGCTCATCGTCGCCGCCATCCTCGAAACCGTCCTCAGAAACAGAGGCGGAACCATCCTCGTCGTCGGCAACCAGGTTTGGTGTATCTCCACTGGCACCAACAGCTGGAAGCCCGACGACTACATCGCCCTTAGCCTCCTCAGCCTCCTCACTCTCTGCGTCATTGTCGGCGCCAGGCTCCTCAGCGAGCAGCTGCTCGACGACAGCAAGGGGAACGTCGGCGGCAAAGGCTACGAGCTCAGCCATCTTGCGCCTCTTGCGCGGCATGTCGTCGTCAGAGTCATCTGACTTGCGCTTGTTGGAGGGCGGCGAGCAGGACGGACAAGACCAATGCGCAGGGCGATCTTCCAGCCCTACACAGCTGAGATGGTAGTACCGGGGGCGGCATCGGCGGTTGACGCACCCAATTATGGGTGTGAGGTAGGTGTTGCAGGTGCAGATGCCGGAAATTGGAGGGGAAGCGCCAGCGCTTCCAGAAGTGGCTTGCTCGGTGATGGTGGAAGTCATGGTGGCTGGTGTGAGAAGAGATTTGAAGATTGTATGAAGAAGTGGCTTGAAATTGGGATTGGTAAGAGGATTTGGGGTAGAGGTTGCTGGGAGAAAGTGGGAGAGGCCAGAACTGCTTGATATAAGGGTGCCCAGAGCCGTACTACCCTGCTGCTCTATTGTATCTACGATAACAATAGCTAGATGAGAATACTGCGACGACAATACGACAGCAAAGAGGGCGAAGTGAAGGCGGAATTCTTGGCAGGGATGTGAGAGACGAAGTCGCGAACTAGATGTAGCGAATAGTAGGCGGAGCGTTTGCAATAGTCACAAACAATCCTTGCTGCCCTCTCACAATATATTGCCTTACTCTCCGTGACCAACGATCTGCCTCCTCCCATGTACACCCTCCCACTGCTCCCAAAGCCCCTTCCAAATGTCTCTCTCACTCCTGCCTAGACCGGCGAACATAGCGTCTAGCCCATCCCTGTGTAAGCTAGCCGTGCCAATGACTTCCCAGATGCCTGGCATCAACTTCTCCCTCACCTCCTGATCTAATCGTCCGTTGAGCTGGAAGCGGCAGAACGATGCGAGGAGAGGGTACAGGAATTTGCTAGCCTTGTCGCGGGCTGCCTTGATAGGGTCATTGAGGTCTTTGGAGTTACGTGACTGATGATGCTGGTGTGCCTTTGTGATAGAAGATTGCGGTGGGTTGCACAGAGTCGAGAGAAGACGCGTGAATTGCGCTGCATTTGCGGGTGTGAGACGCACTGGCTCCGTAGCTGTGACGGTACGTAGCCACGAAGGCAGAGCGCCACTGCGACTAGCATTCGGGATGAAGAGGCAGAACAGCAGGCCTTGCAGAAGTGGTAAGAGGAGGTGGAAGCGTCCCCCTAGGCGGCCACGGTGTACGAGTAGGGTGAGGCGACTCGTATGGCAGAGCCTTGAGAAGATCTCAGGAGCATACTGAGATGACAGTACGGGGCTGCTTCGGGATGTGAGCTTTACGAGTACGCTGAAGACGCATTCGATACTGTGTTGTGAAGCAAGCGAGGGTTTATCGTTTAGAATCGTGTCAATGCAGCCGATCAGAGCGTTGAAAGAATCATAGTCGGGGCTCTCGGCAAGCAGAACGCATATCCTAGGTAGGAGTGCAAGCTGCCTCTGCTTGAGCTCGGCGTTGGACTCCAGCTGGTCGTCCACGGTCTTGATAAGATCGTCGAGGATGCGGTAGGACGCGGCAAGGTTTGGCTGTTTTTGATCAACAGTCATTGTTGGAACCAAGTCTAGCTTCTCGTGGAAGGCAAGCGGGCTGAGCGTATTGCGCAGTGTTGTATACACGTTATCTTGTATGCGAACTGGGCTACTTCTGAGGACGGTGAGCGCCAGGCTGATCAGCCACTTGACGTCTGGGTAGATCTCGTATTTGGCGATCAATGTGTATACTCGTGCGAAGTAGTCTATAACTTCGCTCGGGATGAGAACCGATGAATCGATGTATTGCTCGAGGTCAATGGCGTCCTTGAGCCATGTGCGGAGCCATGCCTGCACGCGGCCAAGCTGTTTCACTTCTTTCAAGGCGTCTATGGACAGCTCGTTGAAAGCGTCCAACGACCCTTGAAGCAGTGCAATATCCTCACTACCAAGACATTGCTTGAGCAGGTCGACATAGCGCTCGATGTGAAGCAATGAGTTTTGCTTTTGGGAAACCGACGTCGCTCGCAAGACCGAGAGCCTTGCTAGCGTGCACTTATTGGTGGCTTTTGCAATGGATAGCAGCCGTCCTGCGTAGGCGATGAAGAACTCTTTGTTTTGGGCTTGAGCCTGATTCGGAATGATATGGCCAAGGGTTCTTTGGACGAGCTCTCGCAGGAGCTGCAATGCTGCATCTGTTTCGAGATTTTGACGATGCAGCTGTTCTGCGACGTCGAATATCACGTCTGCGTCGGTAGAAACTTTGGCTGTTGCATTTGGAACATATTGGAGATGTGCCATGACGCTTAAGGGTACTACTGTGTCGCTCTGTCCGAGGTCGAGGAGTTCGGTCGTGCGGTCCAGTATGGCTTGTCTTTGCTCGCGGGACAAAGCCGAAGGTTGAATATGAAGTATTGCTTCGCCGACCACAGCAGGCATCTTGTTTCCGGCTCCCTGACCGAGAGCCTCCACAAGAGCTGCACAGTATGCGTCTTGTATGACGGAGTTTCCATGCTCGAGGATGGACTGAGAAAGTGATTGACAGATGAGATCCCTGGTAACGCCATCGAATTGAGGTAGCTTCGATAGTAAGGCATGCAAAGATTGGCGGCATGTATCCTTATCTGCGTGCTCGAGGAGACTGATAGAGTATGCGCAGAAAACTTGGATCATCTTCTGCTGTGCGTCGGGTTCTAGCTGGTCGGAAGTCAGTGAGCTGATCGCCTTGCCTAAACCACTGCGAATAATATCCTCCGAACCGGACAGGGTCTGAAGACGATCACAAGTGTTAAGCCAGAACAATGTTGCAGCAGCTCTTGCAGATGCATCTGCGCCTTCGCCGGCGTCTCGGCGCCCTGCTGACTTGACTTTCAGAGCTTGTTCGAGCAGCGGGTAGAGTAGCTCATGTTGCAGCGGGGATGATGCGTGAAGCTCGATGGGCCACAACTTCTCTAGTAGCTGGCACAGTGTGAACCAGGAGAGGTGGGCCTTGGTGTAACGGCTGTAATTGAGTTCCTGAACCCATGTCTTGTATGTGAGGAACAAAGCATGAAGCTCAGATTTAAGTGCTTCGATCGTGTTCTCGGACTGGATTGATTGGAGAAGAGCCGGCAGCAGGACAGCACTGCTTGCTGCATTCTTGTAAGCGGCGAGTTTCCTAACCTTGACGTTCTCTTCGGCGGAGGTCTCGATTGCCACAGCAAGCTGCGCCAGGCGCTCCGCATGCTCCTGAATCAGTGTTGTTATCTGGTTCTGGGTCAAGGATGGTTCGAGAGACTCCGCTAGAGCATTGTGCAGGGCGCGATCTTCCCAAATGATTTCCTGTCCGTCCTTGAGAGAATTGCGCTTGCCGTGCCTGTAGCTCTTGACCAACTGCTCATCCCATCTCCGGATGAAGCCGAGTAGATTCCTGTGGCGCACAAACGCCAGCATCAGTGGGTTGATGATCCTCTCCAGAATTTCAGCGCGACCTAAAGGAGCACCAGCCTCGTTGTTGGATGCAGTATGTCGCTTTTCTTTAGAGGCAATGGCTGTCTGCTTGTCGGTAAAGCCTGTGCCCTCCAACTCTGAAGCCGTTATCTTCTCGAACAAGAACTCAGTAAGGTCAGTCTGACGCTCTTGCGTGACTTTGGCTCCCAACTTCGACTCCACAAAGACCGATGAGTCGAGCTGAATCAGAGATGCGATGAGGGACCAATGCACCTGCTTCTCCTGGCGTTCGGGGTACTTCACACCACAGTGATACCAGAAGATCTTTTTGACAAGGTCTGCAGAAAGGCTTACTTCATGCGCTTGCAGAGCGTGGATAGCACCGCTAAGCGCAGTAACGGCCGTCGGCCGTGTGATAAACTTCGGAGGTGTTGTTAGCGAGCACCCAGCACACTCAGCAAGCGCTGAAAAGACAGCTTGTATCCAAGGCTTCTCCATCGCCCTGCTCCTGGGCGTCCGTGATGGAGAGGCGCGGATTGCTAGATCGAGCACATGAGGGACTGTGTTGAAAAGAGATGCGAGCTCTGTGGGTAGCGCGTCGCCACCATCTTCAATCTGCGCAGCCTGGAGGAGCTTTGCGCGGAGCGGTTCCAGGTTACTTGCAAGGACTGTGGTATCTCGGGCGTTCGGACCAACATCGTTAGAGCCTGTAGCGACACTGACATCTGCAAAGAAAGCTGCTCTTGAAGGTGCGAGCAGGTGTCTCGCCAGAAGCTTGTCGAGCGCTGCGATTGCGCGATCAAGGGTTCTCTGAGAGCCTCTTGTTGTACCATCGCTACGCATCGTTTTGAGAAGTTCCAGCAATGTCAAGATAGGTACAAGGCACTCGGTGTTGAACTCCTCGGCGGATGCCCCAGTCTCGTCTTTGACCTCAGCGGTCCGCAGGTCCCACATGTCGAGCGCAAGCGACAGGTTCAGGTATTCGTCCAAAGAAGTATCCTCGGAAGTGGATGGAGGAGTCGCGCACAATATCCGGACAGCAGTAAGCCAGAACCTTAGGATGCGCGAGGCTTCTGCGCTGTCCGTCCTCAAAACCATCTTCATCAGCTCAGCCTGGGTAGTGTCGTCGCTCTGGTCGCTTCCGGCTAAGCGAGCGATAGAGTTGACCACAGTCCTGACCACGCCGAAAAGACGGTCCAGGTTTACAGGGCCGGCTGCTGTCGATGCTGCCGATGATGCCTCAGCGGTTCCTCGTTTGCGCTTCTTGGATGGTTTGGTTCCTTCGCGGACGGTCGCGCTCGACTCGGAGTCATCTTTCATGTGAACGTCTTCTGAAGTGGCCGTCGACTGTAGGACTGCGTCTGTGTTGAAGTTCTCAACGAGGGTTCTCTCCAAGATACTGGGGAAGGCGGCATCGCGTAGATGCGGTGCGCTTCTTGAGACGGGCAAGACATGTATCATCCAGTCGAGAAGCTGCCACGCGCTGGCATTTGTTCGCGCTGTCCGCCCGGTTTCCGTCTCGTCTTTCAACTTGTCGAGGATCCATCGCAGAACCCATTCCGCTCTTGCGCGCACAAGTCGTCGTATGATTTCTGATCTTGTGTCGTGGTCCTGTATGGTACTCCAGTCTTCGGGAAGGCCTATAATATGCGCAGCTTGGCGGATCTGTTCGTCGAGGTCGGAGAAGTCTTGGTTGATGGCTTGCAGCCGCGGTCGGGTCGACGCAGGGTCGTTCTTGGAGGCCTGCTATGTTGTCAGCTATGTATATACCTATGAGTATGAAGAAATCCTACTGGCTTGATTGGTGCCATCTTGTCACCTCGTTCCCGTTGTGAATGCAAGAACGGGAACAGATCGCAAAGGCCTGGTATGCGGAAAAAGTTTGGGCACGGACCAGCCATCATAGTCGTGCCTGCCCTGCCAAGTGCCGGCGACGTCAAAGTTCCGCTTGGAGCTCCGCCCAGCGCCCATCAACACCACGTCGAACCGCTGTCCATCACCCCCAGCACACCGAGTGCGCCCTTGAACCGCCCAATTGCACTCGCAAACACGCCCGCCATGGCCGACAACACCCCCCAGCCCGTCGCTCCCATCTCGCGCACCACACGTCCCATGAGCGAAGCTCTCCTCAACGAAAAGGTACAATCCCCGGGAAAGAGGCCTCTGAGGCATGGCAAAAACATCTGCACATCTTGAAAGAGGCGTCAAGATATGCCAGAAGCGGGGTAGTCGAATAATGGCAGTCTTGGCCCGCCTCACGCGACTACTGCCAACTTCCGTTCGATCATACGCCGAGACAAGAATGTTGGAACGCCATCGGACAGTCATGCTAACATGATCCCAGTGGGACCGCTGCCTCTCTTCAATGCTCATCCGCTCCGGCCTCGGCCTGTCATTCGGCGTCGTCTTCTCCGTACTTCTCTTCAAGCGCCGCGCATGGCCCGCATTCACCGGTCTCGGTTTCGGTGCCGGAAGGGCCTGGGAAGAGTGCGACAACGTAAGATACAATTAGTCTTGGAACTGGCATAAGAGACCGAATACTGACAGAGGAACAGTCCTTCAAGCGCGCAGCATCACCCCCGAAAGACGGCCTCCGCATTATCCGACCATAAGCCAACTAATCTCCACGAACGAGATGGATCGGAACTATTCTATGTAATTCGAACTTTGCATGCGGACGATGCGCTGTACAGTAGGGCATGGTATAGATCATTTTGGGCAATTGAACGCTGTACTTTTCCACAACCGCTGCACGATTTCTTCCAGCTACACCCACCTACACTTTCTCTATCATATCATATACTCCCTCCCTGCTATTGATACTGCCTTCGTCATCTTCTCAGGTCCTACCATTTCTTCTCCTTCTTGCGTGTCTTAAGGTTATGGCAAATCTTGCCCATGTCCACCCCCACCTCACTTGACCCACTCCTCAAACTTGTACTCCTCCGCTCCATCCGCCACTGTGAACCTGTAGGTACTGAACACGATACTCTCATACAGCTCGCGTCCAGCAGCCCTCGCCTTTCTATGCCACGGCCCCAGCCCTCCTTTGTACGCATCTTCCCTGCTGTGCCAGAAGCCTACCACCATGGTCAGCGGAGCCCATCCTAAACCACTTCACTTTGGGTATGGGAAAGAAGGGAATAACAACGTACAAGTAGCAAGATTTCTCCTCTCTCCATCTGCCTTTCCGAACCAATACTTCAACAGCCCCCCACTCTCACACGCCTCCCGATGAGATTCTGCGTCGAGTCGATACAGATACTCCTCGTCGATTCCTTCCTTGAGCTGTGAGCGGAAGACCACAACGTAGAAACTGGTTTCTCTCCAGGTAAAGTTTTCCCTTGCGATCAGATCGCGCAGAGCGGTCAGGACAGAGTCGAAGTTCAGGGCCTGGGTGTAGGAGGCGGTTGCGTATGCGGGTGTTGCTGGTTTCAGGACTGTAAGAGCTAATGCGAGCAGCCTGGAAGCGGTGGTCAGGTGCTGAGAGGAAAGATCGAGGTAATGGCCTGGGATGTTGTACGGGGAGGAGATCAGGAGAGTGGAGGATGGCTGTTCAGCTCGTAAGGCGGTCTTGTTGGACTGCTCGTTGCGAAGTGTGAGTTGCTCATGTGCCGCGGCCTCGAAACGCAGTTTGTCGAAGTCGGTGGATATAGATCTTGGGTCGAGCAGGCCATGGATTTGCGTGGCGTCCAGAATGGGCGGTATCGCTGGTAGCTCCATGGAAACCTCGTGTGGTGACAAAGGAGTTGGGACGGCGATGTTGGCGCCAGGAGTCTGTATCATCATCGAAGTGACCTCCAAAGCCATAATGTAAATTGCACTTGTGGGCACGATTTGGGGGATCTGTTGTATGTAGATATCCGGTACCGAGATGTTGCACGAAGTATCTTCCACTGCGTACTACTCCTAGCTCTTACACAGCATCGGTCTTGGTGAGTATTGCAACGATGACAGCCTACAATTTGACATTAATTGGTGGAATACAAGACGAATGTAGTTGTGTCGCGGATTCGAATAGGCAGTAGTAGGAGGCCGAGCTCGGCTCTACGAAGGCGCGGTGACAGATGGGTGACCTTTCGCTACAAGCACGTTTGATCACGCAATCTGACGAATACGATACTAGGCCCTCCAAGATCAGCACACGCAACAAGGTCGGTCTGTTGAAGGGTAGGAGCGACTGTACGCTCTAACACGTGGAGAAAGATGGGGCTGATTGGTTCGTTGGCCGGTTACGTACAATTCCATGTATACCCTGGCTGCATCTGCAGTGAGCCATGATCCTAGCGACATTCGGAAAAGAGCGCAGATGAAGGCCAGGTCCAAATTTTGAAATTCAAGCTTTCCCTCTTTCCATATCGATTATCACACGTTGCAAAAGACCGAGGAAAGTGGACGTGTCTCGCCTGCCAGGTTTCCCGTCTCGGTCATCCTTTGAAATCGCCACGTGGATATCCAGCCCTTGCGCATCCCTTACGCCTTGCCAAAAGAGAGACCGAGTACAATGACACAGAGGGTATCAAATAAAATGAGAGGCATACAAGGTATGCAGGTCAACCGAATTGTCGTAAAGAAAGGGCTTATTCCACAATCGCCGTCTGCGCGAGCCTATACATGCGTTGATAGCCAAATTGATGCTGGTCTTTTGTCGGGGGTACCTCGCAGCCATACTCTTCAATGCAAGCGTCAAAGGGCTTGTTCTGTAGGCGGTTGTCTCCCGGCGGTAGCGGCAGATCGTTTCCTCGATCTCGCAGCTCGGTCTTGAGCTCCATCAGGTTACCCCACAAGATGAAGAGCTTCTCCTCGAGTTTCTTGAGAACCTTGGGCTGATTCGTGAGACTGCGAAAGTATTAGTAAGGTAGTAATCGTGAAGGAACAGGCTTGCTCACTCAACAGCGTTCATCTTTAGCAGAAACTGCGCAGCTTCATTGTTGACGACCACGCGCAGTTTCTCAGCCACTGTATCGCGAGGGACGTTGGCATCTTCGAGTAGGAGAACGAATCCCCATTCCCACTTCTCGTTCGCATGGGCACCATTCGAGCTCTGGCGCTTGGGATGCTTGTTCCACTTCCTGTCTCTTGTACTATGCGCGAAGAGCTTGATTTCAGGAGGATAAACATCGACTATGCGCACGCGAGATCGATGTCTGCAGTTGATGAATGGAAGTTCAAATGTGGTGTACTTTTCTGTTGTCGTCACGGTCCGGTGAGGGTTGTGTATGATTTCGGAAATTGTGGATAGTTTCATGTGGGGGAAAGCGGCGGTGACTGAGGAAAGTCAGTGTGGAAGAAGAAAGAGGCCGGGCAGTCTTACCGTTTGTGTTAATACCACCACGACCCTTTTCCCATTCTCGTTCTGTTCGCTGGAGCTCTTCTAGTTCGGCGTCCTTGTCTGCTCGCGCCTTCAGTTTCTTGGCCTCTCTTTTCTCTTTTGCAGATTTGGCAGAAGGCTGCTTCGGTTCATTCTGCAACGCCTGAAAAGCTGTTTTGGTCTCGCGTTCCTTTTCGTACTCTTCCCGCCGTTTGTTAATTGCTTCGATCTCGCCCTCGCTCTTCAGGAGCATAATATCGACTTTTGAATCGTTCATTTTGTCCTCATGTAGAGCACCCTCCAACTTGCCATTGGTAGCCAGCTTGGCTCGCATGTTTCTTACAAAGACGAAGTCACCCTGGCCAAGGTTTTCCTGTATCCAAGCCGCATTTGCTCCATACACGGTGATGTTGAGGACCATGTGACCAAATGGACTACTCCAGCGCCTTTCTCTGACCGGGAAATCTTTTTCCGAGTCTGGATCTGGGTAGTAGAGCATTTGTTCATTCGGAGTATAGTCGGTCACTTTCAAGTCGACTCGGTCACCTAACTGAGTATAGTAGAAGTCGACAACCTGTGCACAAACATCGTAGAAGGTATCAAGTTGCAGATCCTTGATTAAAGACTTCTTCCTTGCTGTCTTGGCTTTGGAAGCACTAATGGCCGCATGCTGCTTCACTTGTGGTGCTGCGCCCTTGGATGCATGCTTTAGATGTATGACAGCCATCTGCTCTGGAATCGTCGGGGGAGGGCCCCCAGTCCTTTCGTGAGGCAGCTTTTGACTGCCGGCCTGAAACGCCTCGCTCAGCCCCGGAACGGGAATCCTGTGGCTTGGGAAGACGACGATGTGGCAGGTCCTAGAACCAATGGCGTCCATGCGAAACTGGTACTCTTGCAGCTGCCACCTTCGGAGTATGACGACATCGCCAACGGTCTTGGGAAACTTGTCTTCGGTTGGTCTGAACAATCGGCAGGTGATGCTTGATTCACCTCCAACCTCACCAGACGTGAAGTCATCTTGAATAGTGAAGTTTAGGGCCATGTCCTGTCTTCGCGTTGTTTTGGGAAGATCAAGACTGACCAGCACGCCGATTAGACTGACCGTGGACTTCGCCTCGGTGGCATCTTTGATAGCCGTGAAGCCGTTGGGCAGCTGCAGCGGCATTGCAGCTGGAGATGGCCGAAAGCGGTTAGCGTGGACTGCAAGGCCGTCAAAGGAGAAGCAATTGCAGGAGAGGCGAAGTGGCTGAGACTAGGCCTTTGTCTGTCGTAGTGGTCTCGCAATACGGGCGTGCAGGTGTGACAAACAGCTGCAGGGTGGCGGGGGCATATCACTGCGACAGTCGCGACGCGTCGTGGTGGTTGCTTAGGTAGAGCGCTCGAGCCAAGCTACTAGCGCCAATACCCGCTTCGCCGCTTCCGCTTTCAAAATCACCCCTCTGGTAGGAAAGTTTACTCCCCTTTACAAACAAACAGCCGCACCCAAATCTTGTCCGACTCCCACACTGCACGCCCACCAGAGTCGCTAGCATGGCCGACAAGTACATCCCCGAGCACCGTCGCACGACGTTCAAGGCGAAGAGCGCCTTCAAGCCAGACGAACTCCGCCGCCGCCGTGAAGAGCAACAGGTCGAGATCCGCCGGGCGAAGCGTGAGGAGAACCTCGCAAAGCGCCGCGGTATCGCTGGACGGGACCAGCCGGGCGCCTCGCTCGGCGCTGCCCCCGACAGCGACGATGAGGGCGGCAACATCGAGAGCCAGGTGCGTTTATACCCCACCATCCCGTGCCTCAGCGAGCACAGAGAGAGAGAGTAGCAGGCTGACATAACGCGATGTAGCTTAACGAGGAGCTCCCCCAGATGGTAAAGGGCGTCTTCTCAGAACAGATCGACGAGCAGATCCAGGCGACGACCAAGTTCCGCAAGCTGCTGTCCAAGGAGCGCAACCCCCCGATCGAGCGCGTTATCGAGACTGGCGTCGTGAGCCGCTTCGTCGAGTTCCTGCGCTCCCCGCACACGCTGGTGCAGTTCGAGGCCGCCTGGGCCCTCACCAACATCGCGTCGGGCTCGGCGCAACAGACACAGGTCGTCATTGAGGCGGGCGCCGTGCCCATCTTCGTCGAGCTGCTCAGCAGCCACGAGCCAGACGTCCGGGAGCAGGCCGTCTGGGCCCTGGGCAACATTGCCGGTGACAGCCCCGCCTGCCGCGACTTTGTCCTGCAGGCCGGTGCTCTCCGCCCGCTGCTGGCCCTGCTGGGCGACAGCCGCAAGCTCAGCATGCTGCGCAATGCCACCTGGACCCTGAGCAACTTCTGCCGCGGCAAGACCCCTCAGCCCGACTGGCAAACTGTGAGTTCTGCTCGCTGCCCCACTTAACTCGAAGTACTAATTGTCCAGCAGATCCAGCCTGCCCTGCCCGTGCTCGCCAAGCTCGTATACTCGCTCGACGACGAGGTCCTCATCGACGCCTGCTGGGCCATCTCGTACCTCTCCGATGGCTCCAACGACAAGATCCAGGCCGTCATCGAGGCTGGCATCCCCCGCCGCCTCGTGGAGCTGCTCATGCACGCCTCGACCTCCGTCCAGACCCCCGCCCTGCGCTCCGTCGGCAACATCGTGACTGGCGACGACGTCCAGACCCAGGTCATCATCAACTGCGGCTCGCTCCCCGCGCTGCTGTCCCTCCTCAGCTCCACCAAGGACGGAATCCGCAAGGAGGCTTGCTGGACCATCTCCAACATCACCGCCGGCAACTCGACCCAGATCCAGGCCGTCATCGATGCTAACATCATCCCCCCTCTGATCCACCTCCTCCAGAACGGCGACTTCAAGACGCGCAAGGAGGCCTGCTGGGCCATCTCCAACGCCACCAGCGGTGGTCTGCAGAAGCCTGCTCAGATCCGCTACCTCGTCCAGAGCGGCTGCATCAAGCCCCTCTGCGATCTCCTCGCCTGCCCCGACAACAAGATCATCCAGGTTGCCCTCGATGGTCTTGAGAACATTCTCAAGGTCGGCGAGATGGACAAGGAGGCCAGCGAGGGTGGTGCTGGCGGCGAGCCCATCAACCGCTACGCTCTCTTCATCGAAGAGGTCGGCGGCATGGAGAAGATCCACGAGTGCCAGAACAACGCCAACGAGGAGATCTACATGAAGGCCTACAACATCATCGAGAAGTACTTCGCCGACGAGGAGGGTGAGGCGGAGAACATGGGCGAGGCCGGACCCCAGGTCAACCAGGACGGTCAGTTCGGCTTCGGCGCCGCTGGTCAGCAGCAACAACAAAACTTCAACTTCGCCAACGGAGGTGACTCCATGGACATGTAAGCGGGTCTAGGTCCGCGACGAGTCCGAAGTTGAAACGTTGCATTTCAGTGCAGCCCTTCCACCACGCTAGCCAGCCACGAGAGCACGACTAGTAGTGTTTGCAGTATCCTGGACGAACACGGAGATCATACACGATATGATACATGATCCACGGAAGTGCTATGATTGCGAGGACCTTTGTGTTTCCTTAGCAATACCCCCATCCTTTCCAGCTATCACTTCGCCATGATTTCAATGAAGCCTTAAAGATACACCGTCTTGTACCCCACCCATGTTCAATAACCGCATCATATCCCCGGCGTTGCGTGTTTGTCTAGCTTGTCTGAAGATCGGAATGGTTGGACTGGGCGGTCTGCTCTGGAATGGCGCTCTACACAATTGGGTGCAAGGGCAACATGCGCTCGCAGTCCAGCCGCGCCAGCCAGATAGCTGAATAAATCGCCGAGTAATCGGCTTACAACATAGCCTGGTCGACATGAATGAAGTTGCATGTGATTGTTGAACTAACAGTGCCGCTAGCTGGGAAAGTAACACGTGCGTCATCCGCGGAACCCTGATCACCCCGCCCCGGCATGCCTCCGCGAACCACGCGTGGGGTTAGCTATCTTTGCTCGCTCGCTTCGTGATAGCATGTCGCGTGTCTCAGGATGAAATCCGTAAAATCGCGTGCGCGCCTACGCGACGTCTCTGCAATCTGTGCAGAATCCAATGATATCCCAAGCAACGCCCTGGACCGATGGCGCAATCATCGCGAACACACCGCCGCCCCGAACTCGCAGCCAGCGCACCACCATCTTGACACAACTGCCATTCCACACATTCGGCACCAGGATCACTACTTCTTCGTGATATGAGACGCTGAAGTTTGACTACACAACAACAGATACTCAGCATGTGTAGGTTTATGGTAAGCAGAGCACCATAGACCCGCGCAGTACGCAGCTAACACCCACAGGTCTACAAAGGCAAGGATGAGATCCTCCTCTCCGAGCTCATTCTAAACCCTTCGCATTCTATCCTTACACAATCCTTCGACTCGCGCCTCCGCCTAGTACGTTACCATCCACCGCCCACATCACCCCTTCCACTAACCACCACCAGGACAGACGGCGCCCACACAACGGCGACGGTTTCGGCATCGGCTACTACACGTGCCCATCCCTCGGTCCCACGCCCTGCGTCTTCACCTCCACAATCCCAGCATGGAACTGCATAAACCTCTCGCGCATCGCGTCCAAAACCACGTCGAGCCTCATCTTCGCCCACGTCCGCGCTACAACCGAGGGTAACCTCAGCGACAGCAACTGCCACCCTTTCAGCTACAAGAGCCTCATGTTCATGCACAACGGCGGTATTGGATGCTGGAAACAGATCAAGCGCAGACTAGCTATGAGTCTGGACGAGAAGTGGTTCAACGTTGTAGGCGGGAGTACGGATAGCGAGTGGGCGTTCGCTACCTTCCTCGATTGTCTCGATAAAGCTGGTATTTCACCTGATAAAGATGTTGAGCCAGGTGTAGGCTTCGGACATACGGTGCTGCGCAAAGCGATACTGAAGACGATTGAGCGGCTCAATGGCTTCATCAAAGATGTCGTGGGCGAACAAGGTGTCGGCGAGGAGGATAGCAGGAGTCTGCTCAACTTCGCTGTGACGGATGGTGTTAGCGTGGTTTGCTCGCGGTACGTGAGCAGTAAGACAGACGAGGCAGCGAGCCTCTTCTTCAGCAGTGGAACTAGTTGGCGCGAACTCAATGCTCAGTCCCAGGACTCTGATGCTGGTGTTTCTGTCGATGACGAGGAGAGAGAGAGGGACTACGTTATGGAACGTAGGGACAAGGGGAGTGACATCGTGCTTGTGGCTAGTGAGCCGTTGACGTTTGAGAGGGGTATGTTGTTCTTCACGTCCTTTCTGGTGCATCGTGTGCTAATGAGAACAGATAACTGGGTTACGGTTCCCACGAATAGTACGCTTACTATATCGAAGCAGACGGTCATGATTCATCCCATTGTCGATGAGTTTTACAGTCCTAACCCGGCGCACGAGCGGAGCGCGAACTTCGCGCAGGCCAAAGGGCAGACGGTCACGGGTAGTGATAAGAGGGTCCTAGGTGCTGTCGGGGACGCGGCTTAGTGAAAAACTTAGAGAGTCAGAAATATTGTATTGGGTTGGCCGTGGCCTTGGGAATCTACGTGACGGCCGTAATCTAGTCCATATAAGTCATCATGTAATGGTTGCGTTGCATATTGCAGTTGTATTCCGAAAGCAGACTCGAGCCAGTCAGCCAGCCCATGTTGGAATTCGACTCTCCTCCCCTGTCGAGGTAGATTGAGAATATTTCCCCTTGACGGTTCGTGTATCGCAATATCAAGGGTTCCGCTTGAGGACGTTGCTGCTAGCCAAAGACTCCATCCACAACCTCGCTTTCTCCCTCTCTATCTTGACCACATCTGGATGCTCTTGCCCTGGAGACTTCTTCGCTGCCATCTTCATGTCCGACATTGCCTTCTCGATAACGGGATGAGTCTTGTCGTCGCGCACAGAATACGATGCCTCTGCCCTATAGGGATTGATGTTGACTGAAGCGTCGTCTTCCATGAGAGGACCATAGTCTCGAACCACGGTCTGGCAAAAGTCCTTCCAACCTCTGCTCAAGATTTGTTGCCCCCGATCCTGTTCTTTGGTGTCGAGGCAGCTGTATTCAATACTCCATTTTGCCAGTTGCTTCCAGCTCCAAAGGGACATGGTGGGGTCGCCGACCATGATCTGGTAGAACTCGTGTGACATTGAGTTGCTGTGCGCATTGTTAGTACCGAACTCGTGCGCGACGCAAAAGGTTTGCATGGGCGGCATCCCTTACCTGAAGAGTGATGGGTTGTCTGAGTTGACTGTACAAGGTATGCCCGCAGCCAGCAGTTCTGGGTATGGGTGTTCTTTGACGTTTCTGCAAAGGTGCAAAAGCTCATTCGAGATGGGACAAAGCTCAATGCAGATACCTTTGCTGGTCTTCGTCTTCTTGAATTTCTCAATGAGATGGGTATGCTTCATGAGCGCGTATCCGTGGCCAATGCGCTTCGATTCCAGCGCCACTGCGTCGTAGAGGTTGGAGTTCTCCGGATCGGAGGAGCCGCCCGTGTCGAGCAGTGTCTCACCGGCGTGGAACATGAAAGGTATGTCCAGTTTCAGTTTCTTACACGTTTCCTGGAATGTAACGAGCTCTTTCCTATAAAACCCAATGTGGTTGGGCCGGTCCTCCGCGCCCACGAGATCGAAACCTAGGGATGTTAGAAACGGTTACGCTTGGAATGCTAGGTGCTGCTTACCACAAATAAGATCCGGGAATTCCATCTTGAGCGCTATGCAATCTCTCATTTCCTTTTGCATAAGCGGTATGGGAATAGACCGTGGTGTGCAATATATGATCTTGAGTCCAAATGGGAACTTGTCATCGTTGCCATGCTGCTCTGTAAGCATTTTCCTCTTTTCCTTCATTCCATCTACAATGAGTCGCATCTGTTCGTGGTTCTTGATGCGCTTCTCGTGAATGCCGCTGTCGGCAGGAATGAACTTGTCCAAAAGCATTGGTCGTAGTTCGGCGTACATGACGTTCTCCTCGATCATACGGTCAATAGCATCGCCTATGTATTCTTTGTAGACGCTCTCATAGTTTAGTAAGCCTTTGAAAGCCCTGGTAGCTTGGTTGAAGCGAGCCCATACTCTGTGTATACGTTAGTGAGTACCGCGATGATGTAGGAGCAACACATACCCATTCACAGTCTGTGTAGGCCCATAGGCTTCGTCAAGGCTAAGAACCATCTTCGATCTTAACCAATTCTCAGCGGGACGAAGCTTGGTAGGCTTTGTCTGTCCACAGTGTTGTGGCTGTCCAGCTTGAAAAGTCTCAGGTTCTTCGTCTTGGTATTCACCTGGGAACTGTCTTTCAAATTCCTCCTGGAAGTCTGACCATGGCATCCAGGTAGTCTTCAGATAGCTCTCAGCCTTGGGGTTTTCCTGATCCATTAGTTTGGGATAAGAGTCCGAGAAGATGTTGACGCCAGGATCGACGGTTGTTGGGTCGCAGACATTGAAAATCATCTCAGTCTCCCCAAGATGCTCCTTCTTTGTGATTGGTATGATGCTGCGAATGTACATGTTCTTCATCTTGCGCGCTCGGACAAGAAGTATCTCAGGATGCAATTCGGCATTGAAGTGAAGATGTAACAAAGCGCCCTTTGGAACGATCCTGGCGATCTGGTATAGCTTGCTTTCGTTGTCTATGCGGTCCTTGTTGGTAAGATATTGCCCGCCCATGTCGCGATCGTTTTCTAAAGGCAGCGCTTCAGACGGTCGGTTACCGAAAGTAACAACCCGCTCATACTCGCGAATCGCTCGGATGATGGCAGCAGCCCTTTCCTCAACCTTGTCGTCTTTGGATCTGGATTTATCCTTGGGTCTCACTGGTCGATCCCAAGCACTCTCGTTCTCTGCTTTCACGAGATCCTGTGTCTTTTTCTCGTGAGCAGTGGCTACTTGATCAATACCTTCCAGAACGGCTTTGAACTGGATCTCCGCCCTCTTCTGAAACTCGGTCAGGTCCTCAGCGTTTGGGGAAGACATCTCGACGGTCTTTGGTTCTCCTGAATGTAGTGGTATCTTCCTAGTAGGTTGCGGGCTGAGGGCCCTCTTTCTCTTCTTTGGTGAGTCAGCTACAGTCATAACTGGTCGGTTTGAGTCTCCTGGAGAGTTGTGCCTGTCACGTACAAAGCTGCATCCAAAAGTCAACACAGCCGCGATAAACATGAGCCTTGACTTGGAGACTCACAATGTGGGGATGACAATACCACACGTTGCCAACAACCCCGGACGGGTTCTGTGGGACTCACTCGAAGTTTTGGGTTCGGCGTCAGTGGGCATGCCGATGACGATGGAATGAAGAAGCGTCTATCACCGGCTGCTCATGCCACCTGCGAAAAGACTGCAGGTACAATGATATGAAGCGACACGACTGGTTCACGCCGCTCTCGGTGACCTTTCTCGATTGACCGGTTTGGGCTGTGTATGATTCGGATATCCAACACAATCCTTAGATCCCGTGAAACGAGGTTGGTTCAAGGCACACCCCGTGACTAGATAGTACTCTAACCAGGCGATTGATATGGTGTACCAAATTCAAGTACCGCTGTCCCACTTGTCGGCCTATTGCACGTAGCGAACTGGGTTAGTATTGGAATTCACAAGGTAGTCGCGGCTGTGGTTTGTTCGCTGCGCCTCATACCCCGCGGCTAAGGAAATGCGCGAGGCTGGGAGACGAGTGATGCCTGGAGCGATGGCCACGACCAAGTACATATGTCGTAGCGGCAGGATCAAAAGAAAGCGTGAGGAGAGGAAGAAAACGGCGACGTTTGCCCTGACTAGACGATGACGTTTCTTGCGCTCATAAATTCTGATGACTGGGAAGGAGCGATGCCACCAGCACTATCGCGTGCCTGAGGACACGCAAGACAGAAGGAAGGAGCAACCACATACATCAGCGCACGCTTTTTTGCGTTCAATTCTTCCTTCTCTTGACAGCTCGAGTGAATGCGACACCGCTTTTCACGTCTTTTCAGCGCAAACCTCGACGTTTCGTACAGTTGTCGCTATCGGATCGTGTCACGGGGATGTCAGCCTGGTGCGTGCGCCTGTTCTGGTGTTGCGAGCAGCAGGCGAAGATGGCGATCACAGACGAGTTCAAGCTCCACTCGCAGTCGGGGCGCAGCGATCCAAACTTTCGCGATGTCGTTGCGACAAGCGGATCAGTTACTAGAAAGAAGTTGGAAGTCAAGCTGAAGCTGGGCAGGACAGCCCATCGCTCACACGATGAAGGAGGCTATGCAAAAGCCTCATGCATTCTGCCATACGCCGGATAACCCTGGAGCCTAGCCACTGGCCCTGTCAGCCATGTTGCCCCTCACTTCTTCAGCCTGAGGCACCCAATAGCTGCACAAGCCCCAATCCATGGGGGCTGTGGGATTGCACAAACTCCCGTGTCCTCGAGACAGCGCCTGTGCCTCCTGTGCCTCCTTGACCGGAGTGGAATGAGGTGCCACACGCAGATCCGGTGGGCGCTGCACGCATGTTTTGGCCCCCAGCGTCTACGCTGTACGCGCGCCTTTTCCTGCTCCACGCTGGGGCTTCGTCTTCATCATACATGCCTTTTTTTCGCCTCAATCCTGGCTCTGTTGTATATACGCTTGCGGCCCTTTTGTCACTGCATCATAGCGCGTCGATTCAGATTTATGCATCGTTCCCATCACATTCAGCTTCGGCCATCAGTTTGCACTGAGTCTTGAAGATCGCGTGTATCTTAGCGACATGTATTGGCTGCCCGCAGATGAGAACGGGAAGATATCACTCAATGAACTACAACTAGATATCGTTGGTTTTCTCGCCATCTTGGGCGAGGGTTCCGTGCTCGCCAATGCTCAGGTTTCGACGCTTTCGAAATGGATATTCCTACCACGGTTGATCCCGGCACCTCAAGCCCTGATGAGGCCGACGAGACCATTTCAACTAGAGCCTTCCCGAGGTCACGTAACCGGCATCGTCTCGGGAAACCACAGGGATCACATCAATCATATTGGAAACATCGTCTGGTAAGTGCATCTTCTCGGTCAAACTCGGTAGCCGCCAGCTGCCACGAGGTACTTTCCCACACGTCAACCGTGGACCGGAGTCACCATTGCACTAGACATCACACGTACCAATATACAACCATAGCATAAGCGTGCCATACTAACAAAGTACTAGTGACGCGAACAACCTGAAGCCCTTCTCCGTACGGGTTGTCGAAATCAAACGCGTCCACGACCGACCGCTCAAGGCCAAGACCTTTGGCCCACTCACAATCGTAAACTTCATCGGCTTCGCCCTCTCTGCTCTCCTACTTGCGCTATCGATATGGCAGGACGATGGCATGTCGGTGGTAGCGACGGTACTACTCTCGCTTCTTTCCAGTCTGATCGGACTGGGTAACAAGTGGGAACTGGAACTACCCTCGCGGAAATACAAAAAGACAGAGGTACCGGGGGGAGACGTTGTCATTCGATATCCAAAGGGGTCTTTCCTGATCGTGCGTTGCGAGGAGGACGTGGCCCGAGAACTCTACTTCGCACCGGAGAACATCAATTACCTCTTGACGCACGGTCCGGCATACCGAATTCTGAGCCTGGTGGGCACTATGATGCTTATGGGAGGCGTCATCTGTCTCGCCAATGCTCAGATTCAGGTTCAGATCGCCTGGGCCGGTTCCTACATGTTACTGGGCGCTTCGTACTGGGTTGTCGCTGCCTTGCACAGCAAGTTGCACTGGGACACCTCGTGTTATAAAGTCGAAAACGAATGCCTCTCTGACTCCGACTTGGACAAGAAAGGATACCCTTCGGAAAACGACACGTTCACACAAGCTCTGTGGAGGGCCATTTGTGTCAGCAAAAACATTGGATGGGTTAAAATGAGCGATGCTTGTCCTGATACCGAGGCCTGGCACGAATGGCTCCTAGAGGCAAAGGCATGTAGTGAAGACTTCCAAACGGTTGAAGACGAGGAGAAGTCGAGAGGCAAGACAATGTGGGAGGTCCCCGAATGGGACGCACAGGGTTCTCTGGGGAGACTGCTGGCTGAGCATGCGGGACGCCAGAAAAAACTCATTAGACAGAAGGTCGAATCAGCTTGACCAGTTTCATCGGGCTTCATGGACATTCATTTTGGGGTTATGCATAGCGCTGGGGCACGACAAACTAACCATCATACAACGAAAATTTTTCTACGACGAGCGCTCATTCTACGACTTACGATTTACGACTGAGAACGACGACTTCACCGCGACGGCAGCGCTGCCATCATCTTGTACCATCCTACAACACTGGAATCCTACATCAAGCTTTCATTTACACGTCTCGCATCGTTAGCGCTTTGAGCGTTCATGTATCTATAGCATTTTTCACATAGCAGAAAAAATACACACAGCAGTATTTATACAAAGCTCGCCATTCGCACCAGTCACCACTTCTCACCAACGCAGACATCACCTCACCGCGATCAATGCTTGTCAAAACCGGTGCTTCTAGCGTTGAATAGCCTTAATTTTGCGCAGTCATATATAGCCAGCGCAACGCTGCGTCTAAATAACGCAGACTCATGTTCGTGGCATGACACCTGGACACACCGTGCTCAGCTCCAGACTCACAGCGGCTTGGCAACTCCGAGTAACCTCGTAGGATGGGAACCATGAGTACAGAGCGAGGAGACCGACGAGCCCAGGAATGGGCTCTCCCCGATCTATGACTATCCTCTCGAGTCACTGGTTTTGTGTCGCTCCTGCTGGCTGACAAAGAACCCAACAGCGGAGAGCCTCAGCCTCCATCTTGCAGTCATCATTGCATCTGCGCGACCAGACTTCAGGTAGCGCTCTTCCACCGCTGCTCAAATTCCACCTTCCTCCTTACTACACTCCTCAACCACTTTTCCAGATTCTCTCCTTCAACCTGCGCATCGACATCCATAGCCTCGCCTTCAGCCTCCAATCTCACACCACCCTCCTCTTCTTCGTCTTCGTCTCCACAGCATGCATCTTCTGCCATCTGGCATGCCTCGTTCCACTCCTCGTAGCTGAAGTTTCCCTCGCTTTCGCTCAGCAGCATTTTCCTGTCGCCAGAGAATGCGAAGACGTGTACCGATCGTATGGGCTTTGCGCGTAGTAGTTCGTTTGCGGTGGGCGAGAGTAGGGGTGGGAAGGAGTTCGTAGACGGCGAGGCGGGTTGTGCGATCATCACGGAAGTGAGGACTGTGCGGAGGGGTATCGATGCGGAGAGGAGCGCGAGGAGCGCGGTGTGAAGAAGGTGTGGGAGGAGGGTCAGAGACTGGGGCTGTTAGCGATTGGTGGTCATGAGAGACGGTATCACAACTGGACATACGGTATTGACGCCTGCTGTACTATCTTCTTCCGGTAAACTCCTGACTTGGAGTGTGATTTGTACAAGTGTTCGCGGTATCGCTCGGGTCAGAATTACACTGCGCAGTGTGTTGTGTACCAGTGTTTCGAGATGTCGTTCCCTTGGACCTGGATACCCGTCAGTATATCAATCACTACCCCAACAAGCGTAAACACATACTTCCAACTCCCATAGCGGGTCTGACGTTCACCTCGATCGCTGCTTCCTCGGGTAGTTCATCGCGTCGCTGTACTTCGATTGGACCATTGACGGCGCCAATGATGGAGTAGCCATTGTGGGTATATGTCGCAGAACCGTCGGCGCGGTTCAAATGCGTGAGGATAACTGTAGGTGCGACCATGATTTCGTGACCAGATTCGTATGCGCGTCGTGAATGAAGAGTTCGACTCTCCGTACTGTCAACTGTGTAGGTGGTGGGAGGAGGTGTGCGATAGGATCAGATTGTTGAGTAAGCCAGCAGACGCGTCGAGTTGAAGGACTGTAATGCGCAGAAATTGGACGAAGGGGTGCGTGCTCTAAGATGCGCTTCTGCACCTCAGTGACGATATGCCATCTCCAAAAGTTTTGGTGGGGATGGCGCTCAGCCCAGCCTGTGGCTCAAGCTTCAGACCTCGGCGCATCACCGCGGCCAGCTCAGCCATCCGAATCCGATATCCTTGCCAATGCGACAATTGAGCTGTCCGCCAGCCTCCACTTGCATTTTCACCGCCATAGACATACAGC